ATTTTCAATTACTCTAAATCAACTAAACTGGAAGATAATTTCACACTTAATAAAAAGTAGATGTTTATTCAAAAAGTAAGGCACCAACCCCTCTTTAATTATTTTCCCGCTTCTCCCTCTAAATGAAGTAATTGTGACTATCATTAAAGAGTTGTGGAGTTGAACAAACATTGATTAATTATTAAGGAACCAACGAATTTTGAGTCCTCTTCATATTAGAGTTTAATTTAGATTAACCAAATAATTTAGTTCATAACAATTTAATTTCCTTCAATATCTTATTCATGATACATTATCATAAATTAAACCGCATAAGAAAACATTTTCAATCACTTTAAATCAAACTAAACTAAAAGATTGTTTCATACTCAATTAAAGGTTGATATTTATTCAAATTGCAAGGCATCTACCTCTCTTCGAAGCGCAGACATATTATCCCAACGTGGATCCACTCATAACTTATTTGGTTAATGCAAATGCAAATATGTGCTGCTGTTATAAATAATTTAGTTCATAATAATTTAATTTCCTTCAATATCTCATTTATGATACATTATCATAAATTAAATCACATGAGAAAACACTTTCAATCACTTTATATCAAATTAAACTGAAAGATCGTTTCACACTCAATTAAAGGTTAATATTCATTCAAATTGCAAGGCATCTACCTCTCTTCAAAGCACAGACATTTTATGACAAGGTGGATCCACTCATAACTTTTTTGGTTATTGCAAGACATTTTATGACAAGGTGGATCCTCTCTTCATTCATGCATTTTGATACGTACATCTTCCAAATGTTATAATAGGCACACTAGTACCAGTAGCTGAAATAGGTTCTTAGGATTTAACATCATAATTTATTTCGTTATCTGTGAAATAAAAAATAATTATGTGTTTTTGGCCCTTTAAAACTTAGATCAAGTGGTTAAAGACTTAGAAGTTGAGGTCTCTATACTTAACAAATGTTAAAACGTTACAACTTGATTGGTCAAATATTTGATATGTATTTTTGTAATTCTATTAGTAACAAAATTCAAGTAAACCCCCAATTTCTCTTTATATTTTTTAACGTAAAACTATGCCAATTTCTACATTTTTGGACTACAGCCCAATCTAAACCACCCCAGTCGGAACTGGCACAGTGTCCTCCATGTTGTGGAAGGCCCTAGGCCCATGGACAAGCCCCACGCATTTAAACATATCACAGTAATAAGCAATTGGCTAATTGTTGCTCTCCTATGATTTGGTGTTAGGGAAATGATTCATGCACACCATGAATCAACACTCGACTCATCACACAAGCATTTCAAATGGAAAAAATAATATTTTACTTGGATATATACTTATCTTAACTTATTCTAAATAGTTGAAAATCTATTTTCTC